TCATCTTTTAGATTATCATTCATTGTCATTGATCTTTAGATGCTAGCTTGAGATTGTGGAGACTTTCTCAAGTAGCTTAAAAGAAGCTTCAATATATTTTCCTAAAAGTAAGTCAAATATGAACTAAATATTTCATTACAAATTCAAATATATTCTAATTGTATATATTTAAATTGTAGTGCCCAAATCATTTGAGGAATCATGAGTGCGATTATTACGCAATGAAATACATGTTCACCATTATCTCTAGGAACATTAGTGACTCATGGAGAGGAGTAATAATACACATAAATTAATTTACTTACTTTAATTAGTTTTTATTGTTTAATTATTTACTATTGTTTAATTTATCTCTATCTTTAATTTGTTGATTATGGAGAAAATATAAACACTAAAATGGAGGGTTGGATAGTGTATATCAAAAACTCCCATGTTTTTCAAATTTGTAAAGTAGTATCTGCAACAGATGAAGGGTTAGAAAGAGTAATCAATGAATACAAAAAGTTTTTATACTGGTTCACCTCAACTACTGAGGCTATGTCCAATTTTCAATCCAACCAGATTAAGTTCTACTAACTTTCAACGAAGTTGCAAGTATTCTTTTATCAAGTCATTTCTAGCTTAAACAAGTGTTCTTTGATTGGTCTTTTCAAGCCATTACCTAAATATTCTTTTTACAACTAAGTCTCTCCAGGTTTAACCCCAAGTATTCTTTTACAGTCAAGTTTCCTCAAGCTTTACCCTATAATAGTGGTTATGAAGGTATTACAAGGTTGCAATTGTCATCTTTTCTAGACGTGATTACAACAAATGTTTAAGTACAAGAAAAACTCTTGAAGAAGATTTTCTATGACAAATTTTTTTATGTATGGCTTCTTCTTCTTCTCTTAAGTTCTAGAGCTTCTTATATAATAGCTTTGAAAGACATGATTGTTGCAACTTCTCGAGTCTAATTCATAGAAATGTTTTGTCTTACTCATTCATCTGATCTAGAGAGAGGAAGTACTCATTGGTGCATTAAATGCTTTAATTAATGCCTTTCACCTAAACATACTCCATATCTTTGATAGATCAAGCTACTTATCAAAGCAAAGTAGAAAAATGGGAACACAGGAAGCAAAGTCAGCGTGGAGCGAAGATACTATCCTTTTCTAGTACCTTTTCTGTGAAATCCAAAATCTTTGTCCTTTGTTCTCATACTCTATATGCTTTTATACACTTTTAACAAAATGTGAGTTCTAAGATAATGACTTTCAATCTGTTAAGGTATAAATTATTCATTTGAAAATTTAAAAACATTAGTCATAATAAATAATGGACGTTAAGAACAATTGTATGTTTCATCTTACAAACGTTACTTCGTCTTATAGAGTCTAAAATAGTGACTTTTCAAAAGCATTTTCTTGACGAAAGACATAGTATTTGTCATGATTAAAACTTTTGAAAAGGGAGGAATCTAAGATCATCTTTTAACTTAACATAAATATTTTAAAATCCAACTCCATTCACCTATGAAGAGTTGGGAGAAATTCACACTAAATGGGTAGCCTACTATTTAGAATTAATATGAACTCCTTAGTTTAACTATTTAGTCATATTCTTTATTTTAGTTTGATTTATAATTATTTTACATTATTAATATTGTATGAATTTTAAAATTTTTATGACAATGTTATAAAAATCAAACTAGACATCGAACCAATCTAGACAATAATTTGATGGTTTAATGGTCAAATTAGCAGGCCACTTATTAAAATGGTAAAACTAATTTATATTAAAATATTAAAAAATAATATATTAAATGCAATTTAAGATAAAAAATATAAAAAAAAATTATATATGTATAATATAATTGTGACATATAACAAACTATAGGTGCCTAGTCTAGTGGTAATTGGACTCTATAGCAAAATGACAGATTTTCAAACCTCAAAATCTTGGGTTTAAATATTAGATTTATAAAGATAATTAATTTTTGGTCAAAAATATAGATTTTAATTTAAAAATAAGTTTGTGACCCGAATTAATTTTCCGACTGGATCGGGTTTTCGTAAATATGGTTTATGATATTCATTCACCATTATTAACATAGTTTATTTAGTTGTTACTTTAGTTTGCCATAAATTGTAGATGTAATTTAAGATTATATTATATAGGTGTATATACTATTTTCTGTTTACAGGTTGGAGAAAAATTAAAAAATGAATATAATTATATAAATATTCAAAATTTATGACGAACGTGACTTTACTCATTATATAAACTTTTGTGGTAGGTAAAGTCACAACTATCATAAAATGTGACATTTTTTTATGTTGGTGAGGTTACACCAGTCATAGAAAGGGTACTTTCTTTACGGGTGTAACCACACCAATCACAACTATGATGGGTGTTGACACATCACACATAGAAAGTGCAATATTTCTATTGTGATACCCTCTACCCCAACATTAATACATAATAAATGTAAATAATATTTTTTTTTTCTTTTTGATTAAATAAAATCTTTTATATTTGATAACATCTTTCATGGATAAAAAAAATGTCTCAAATATCATAAGATAGAAGGTTCACATTGGGAACTCATGAACCATAAAAAGTCAACATGTAAGTATCAAAACTCAAGAAATCATAAAAAAATAATAAAGGAAATATATATTAATTCTAATAAAGGTGGCGGTGCCTCCAAGTTAGGAATTAATTTATAACTTTCAAATCATGTAATAAAAATATAACAAAGATGCACACTTTGACCTTTCATCAAAAACATTCAAAATTACAATTCTCAACATACACTTTCCTTGGATTCAATCGCTGAAACTCTAGACTTCATCTACGGTATACATTCGCTAGAAATTACAAAAGAAAAGAAACTAAGGTTTTTAAAACAATAATATCCTAAACTAAGCCTAATTATGTCCCGATGTCACATCCTATCAGAGCATGTCCAACTGAAACCTTAAGCCTCATCACCAACATCCTCATGATGATGATCACCTGTAACATAATTTAAACATGTACAAGAATAACAAGGAAGTAAAAAATATCTCACTCTAATTCAGATGTAGAAATAAATGTTAAGCAATGCACACACAATCATAACAAATACCACACAAGTTACACATCACCAATCATAACTCTTAAGTTATAAATACATTAGAATGCATATACATTCACTTATCATGCAATAATGCCATGGACTCGATGTTGGATCCTTAATCCAACATTTGTCTTATATGTGAATAATTATATATTAAAGACACATAATGCCAAATTAAAGTGATCTAATGACGTATAAATTATTTCGGCAGTTATGTATCTGAAAGATTATGGGACCTTTAATGTGTGGTAACTAAAGGGTAATTCTATTTTGTGATGGGTTAAAATAGAAATACCAAAAGACCTTATGACTGTCTACAAATAGGTTAGGTCCCCAGATCACACTACGTTCTTTTCTTTTCTGACATCCTATTATCAAAGAGAGACAAAGAGATAATTAAAGGGTTCTCTCAAGAGAGTACGTGTTAATCTAGAAGGCCAAACCGCACCGCTCTCTTATCATCATGAATTCAGGTATGCTTCCGCTTATTATTTCTAGTGATTAACATGATAGATTTTATTTTTATATAGATGATGCTTTTCATCAAAAGTTTAAATTTGGTTCTAAAAATTGGTATCAGAGCCATTTATCATGTTTTATCATTAGGAATATTTTGGACATGTTTCTTCATTATAGTATTATATAAATTCACCATGCATTTACAGTTGAAAGAAAATCCAATATATGTATCTTCTGAATATTATAGTAAGGAGAAAATGTTTTTAATTATTGGATGATTTAGTTTTTTTTTTTTTTGAAATTCTTTTATGTAATTTGGAACATGTGTTTTGTCTTGCAGTATCACGGTTTCCTTTTTTCAGTATCTTGATAGCATGTGTTTCATATACATAATAGTTAATTAAATTAAATTCAATTGCTCGAATATTTTTATCTTGTAATTAACTTATGATTCTGGCATATTCTTGGTATATTGTAATTTAATTTCGGTTATTATAATTGGTCAGATACAGTATTATGAAAATACTATACAGTTGTTCATTTTTGAGATTTTTTTAATGATAATTGATTTCGATTTCAATTATGTATTTAATTCATTTTTAATTAATATGTTTCATATTATAATTGATTTTGGTTTCAGTTACGTATTTAATTCGCTTTTAAATTGATATACGACATATTGTAATTAATTTTAGTTTTAATTATGAATTTAATTCGTTTT